CTGGAACTTTGTAGGGATATTCCTTGTGCATGTACTAGCTTAAGATTTCAAACTCAGCCTCCAGGTGTTCGTGGTACTCACGTAAGAGCGTATGAAAGTTTTAGGGGCGAAATTGCTAACTCGAGTGCCAGGAAAGTTAGAAAGCTGAAATTTTGGGAGAATGTTCCCTATTCAAGTACAACTCAAATGTTTCAAACTCAGCCCCAAATCATGCGTGGTACTCATATAAGGGGGTATGGAAGTTTCTGCAGGAAAATTACTAATTCGGCAACCAGAAGAGCTGGAAGGCTAAAATTTTAAGGAAATATTCCCTGTTCAAGTGCAATTTAAAAATTCCAAATTCAGCTTTCCAGAGACGTGGAGTACCCGCGTACGGATATTTGAAGGTTTTGACAGGAAAATCGCTAACTCGGTAATCAGAAAAGTAGGAAAGCTGAAATTCTGAGGGAATATTCCCTGTCCAAGTACAACATAAGCATTTCAAATTCAGCTTGAGGTATGCGTGGTTCTTACGTACGGGCACTTAAAAGTCTTGACGAAAAAATTTCTCACTGAACAACTGGGTTACTTTTAAAGAACGACTGTTAATTGGAAATTGTACATTTACTTCGCAAAATTTATGATAATTTATGCTAGTGGCCGCAAAAGGTAGGTGCAAAGTAAAGCCATTCATGCAGTCAATGACCTGTGTACTTCAAGTCCGGTGCAAAAACGCATGATCGCCCGGGCTCGCCCGGTGCGATCCAGCCTGGGTTATTATAACTATAATTATAAAAATATTTACTTTTATCATTGTCACTGTCGTAATTATTATTACTATTGTTATTACTATTATTACTGTTACCATTATCGTATTATTACTATTGTTACTGCTATTATTTCCGCTACCACTAGCACTATTATTATCAAAGTACAGTACGAAAGTGCACCTTTAATAGTTACAGTGCTTGATGCGAGAAGGCATCACACTCGTAAAGCTCAGGCTGCAATAAAATGATATAACAGAAAGGGCGCCAAACCGAATCATTTTCAAGAAAAAGCTGTTGTGAGTGAAATAGTGGCGGCTGGAAGGCCTCAAACATCGCACATCAATTAAGAGAGGCAGCAACAAGTTTTAAGCTTAACTGAACCGCAACTGTGCAAGACTAAATAATCCAGCGCTTCACGAAGGCAACACGCGAACTTTCCTCTGCCTTTCCCTTCCCCGTTCCCGCACGATCCTCCAACGTGCTTGAACGTCCTTCTGCCTCCCAGATAATCTGTTTGGACTTAGTTGCTCTTCCGCTGAACCTGTGCTCCTATATTGTTCACATAACTGAATGCAGATCCCGTTAGCTTTTCCGTGTTCATCATCTTAGCAAACCACGCCCGGACCGAGTGCCTGCTGGCCAAATTATGGCGATTACTGATCGGATGCACATCAAAAAGCAGTGTACGATGACAAACATCGCCATTAAATGAAATTCCCATCCATCCGATTTTCACTGCTTAAATAATCCGAGACTTACTGCGCCTAGCCCATGAGATGCATCAAGTATAAGTGTTGCCATCGCAAGAAACTTCATGCATTGAAATTACAACCGTCTATTTATAAAAATCCCCTCATTACATGCATATGAGTGCAGAAGAGAGGGAAGGACAGGACTGTGCAGATTGCAAAATCCATTACCAAAAATTAGTGCAGTGCAAGCACACAGGAGGTGCAGAAGACAAACAAGAGAAACAAGAGTGTTTCAAAAACAGAACATCGCCCATGACGGACCTGAGTTAAAACAAAACGACGAAGTTCGGCAACCCTACTGCCTGGGCATATCGGCGGATTCATCCACTGAATACGACGCACAATCCTCATCATTTCGTCCCACGAGAACTCCCAGCTCTGGGCTCATTTCACTGTCCATGAAGAATTAAGAAAAAAAAATTATTCTAATGCGCACCACCAGCTGTTTTCGGGTGAAGATGTGGACTGCTAAGCATGTTCTCTTAGTTGCTGTATGACAGTGAATCCGACCAGGTGGACCGCAACGATTTAAGAATTCTGAGAAAGGCTGAACAACAACTTATCAGTGTTCTCTACTGTCCTTTTTACAGCTAAATCGCATAAATTCCTGATTCGACCAAATGAGCATTCAGAAGGTGTTGCTGATCGTTTAAAATTTGCGAAAATTGTTAAAAGTTTAGCAATTAAGCCGCAGTTTCAGGAAGGAGCTGAAGAAAGCTGTGTAAAATCGAATGCGTAAGCAGTGTCACCGAAGTTATGCAAATTCATAGCAAATGATTAAAAATTACATAGCGTTGTTGAGTCCAGTCAGCGCTGGAACAAATTACTACTTTTTAATGAAAGTGGTGAAATTTCGTTTACCTGTGAGGAATACTCACACGGTGTTCAGACGCTCTGTGCAACAGTCTGTTGACAAAAATGCCATTCTTTCCATTCACCTTCATCTCCCACTTGTTCGGCTGGTCAGTGTGGTAAAGAATCAGGTGGCGTCTGCTTATGAAGCGATTCTCCTGAAAACGAGTATTTTCTTGCCTTTCACTGTTACACAGCTGGCAGTGAGGTCGATGTTCTCCCGCTCCCTCTAAATGTCGCGTCATTTCTTTCAAGACCAGTACCTGATCACACTTTCCGAGCATACTGTACTAACATGAGACATTATGGGCTAATAGCAAAACCAGTAGCGCGTCCTGCCTATGCAACTCGTAGCCACATCGGTAATCGTTACTCATCAAACTGACTGTTTGATTAATTGTATATAATAGTGAAAAGACGCTTCAAACATCTACTGCTCCGGTGTTCTTTTCCCTACAGCTAGCGTCCGCTCTTTCGCTCTCGCTACTGAAAACGTTTCGCATCCGTGTGTCATTATTATCAACGCGACAGTACCGAAACGACAGCGACGGTCTTTCTGACCCATATGCTAGGGAGTCAAACTCGCCATCAGCTTACTGGTAAGCAACCCTCAGAAGAGCGAGCTATTGATAGCCTTGCCAGCGAGTGACTGCTGTTGGCATTTGCTTTGTTGCCATTCGCGCTACTTCCTGAATGCCTCCACCTCTTACCAAAAGCGAAATACGGAGAAGGGTTCTGACCTTAACTTTGACAAAATTAGTAATAACTCAGCCTAAACAATGATCTGTCAATTT